GCAATAATCAAATCACAGTTTTCTCCTATAGTCCTATTTGGGAAACCTCTAAAGATACATAAGGTCCGTTCCTCAACCATGGTTTTTCTAACTTCAGTTAACACTCTTCATACGTAAGTGGATCCTGCAAGCCCAATCAAATTGGTTACAACACGACACAACACTTCATCACATTTGGACAAGGCACTAAACCACCAAACAAAATGCATAGAAACTTGGCAGTAGATGAAATTAACCATAAGGCAATGAGAAAGATCTTTGAAACTTTGCACAAGCTGAGGCCACAGTCGCTCTCTTTCTATTCAATCCATTCCTTCAAGTTTGCTCATGGCCTCTCCCCACATTATTTACCAAATAGAACAAGCAATCTTTCAGATAAAACCTCAAGGAAATCATATAAAAATCAAGAAACCAATTAAAAGGATTAATTATAAGATTAGTCGGATCTTCATTACACATTCTAATGATGTCCTAAATCAAAAGTAAATCAAAGGGATGAACAATCAATGTAAAGACTAGGGTTATGGATTTTATATCTGGAATTAAAGATATAGCAAACATGGATGTCACGATCGACGATAGAGTAAAGAATAGGAGCCATCTAAGTAGTCAATTCAGCATTTGGGGAATGTGTTTGTTGTGCCGTGTTGCTCCATGTATTCGAAAGCAGAGTTAGTTTGGTCAACGGGAGCCCTAGTTTTGAAAAGGATGGTGACGATCTTGGCCGTGTAATCCAGAGAACAAAATCTCTGTGATTGGGAGAGGTCCTTGATAATAGGTGATGTGTCTCAATCTTTTACCTCGAATAGACACTACATAAAGCTCTAAGTACACAATTAACTATTCGTGTGTAGTATTTAAGGATCAAATCTCAGAGAGAGAGAGAATTGCACTACAAATCCGTCAGAAAAGAATAAGGCTAGGACAAAAATATGAAGTTGGTTTTGGGGTTTTGTCACAAACGAAAACAACAAATAAATGATGTAAGCAAGACAAATAGAACCTTAAAGAAATCAATAAAATGAGCGTTGGGCTTCAAGATTTTTTTCTGGGGATTCAAATGATCATTTCATGCAAGGAAACTTAAGATATGTAATCGTTTACTTCTAAGTTCTCAAGCTCGAAACAAGAGTGAATAAAAGACCTACAATTTACATAAGCAATTATCTAAGGTCTAGATACTCCGTTACTCAACAAAACATTCATTATAAGCAAGTTTCGATAAGTTCACATGAACACCATAACTAATGGGTATGTGCATGTTATGAGATCAAACTCGTCTAATTCTAGGTTTAAGTAAATAGATGTACACGAGTTCTACTTCTCTAGAATTAACAATTAATTCTTGACATCAATCACATGCATTAAGATTAAGAATAGAAGAAGAACAGTGTAAGCGAAACAACCCTAGAAATCGTCACTAAAACTAATCGGTCATGAAGTTCCCTTTGAATAACCATTTAGAACAAACTAATTGGTGGGGTGAAGCTATCAAGATTTATACATTGCCTATAAATCCTTAAAAAGATTTATAAGGCATGTCTGGTCAACATTAAGAGCTTTACTCTTTCGCCAGATTGTTGGGGTGAAGCTATCAAGATTTATACATCAGGCTTAAATTAATGCCCAAATGTATCAAGAAGCAAGCAAGATACTCACCAGAGCCAGCATTATTGGTAGAAGACATTGTTGCATATGTTTTCCAACTCAAAGGAAGCTATGTCCAAGATTATTCTCTTACATTCAAGAATCCGAGAAGAATCAAAAATTTGATTCATATGCTCGAGAAATGTAGCAGTTTTAGTTCAAAGGCGCTTCCTAGTACAACATTTAGAAAGCATCTTCACATATCAAAATACAGTTGTTGAAGATGATGCTTTCAGTGGGAGACATATGATGGTGAGCGTGGCTGCACTCTTTTTTTCTTATCATGGTTTTTACTCCACTAGGATTTTCCATGACAAAGTTTTTAACGAGACAGCAAATAACACGGAAGATAGAAATCACAGTGAAGATCTATCCCTCTTCAAAATCTTTGTCATACATTGACAAAATCAGAAGAAGAGAAGAGAAACAAGTTAATAATACAACTCTCTCTTGGTCTCTCGTCTCCTTCTTCCTCTTACAAAATTTATTATTATTTTTATTATTATGTAATATTCAATACGTTATCAACAAAGGGTTGATAAAGTGTTGAATAACTATAAAAATAACAATATATACATATATGTATGTAATACCCCGCTCCCTTATTATAGGGCCAATTTATTTTGAAGATGATGGTGTTGGCCCATTTGCCCCATTTTTGTGTTTGTAAAAGAGTACCCAAGTAACATTACACAAATGAGCAAGGGTTTTTGGTCGTGCATTAGTGTGTGTATATATAAATTGGTGTATGTAACTCCCTCTTGGTGGGCCGTCAACGAGAAATCTTGAGCATTACGAACCTAAATCAGTAACAACCATCTTGATCTCTAAGAGTAGCCCTTACTCAATTGTTTCCATTGTGGTTGTTTGGTCGTGCTTTGTGTTGAGTTTCTTTGTCGTTGTTGTTATGTGCGTTGTTGACTTCGGAGTTTTGCTAAGGATAGGAAGCAGACCGGAATAGAGAGACAAACATTTGGAGCCGTAGACTTTGAGAATAGAGCTTGAGAGAGAGAGAACCATGAGGTGGGTGACGACGCAGACTTGGTGGAATCCGGTGGTGGGTATGATTGGTCACGGTGTCGTTGTGGCAAGCTTCAGTGGTGGTGAAGAGAAACGCCGGAGCAGACCAGAGGTGGAGAAGAGAAGAAGAGGAGAGGGGAGAGAGCGGTTGTGACGGAGAAATGGAAGCGGAGATGGAGGAGGCGTCACGGGTCTTAACCGTTCATCACCGGAACCAATGGCTATGGAGTCAAGCCCATTTCAAAGTGATGGTTAGGCAGTGGTGAGCCTTATTGTATTAGATCGGAGATGGTTGCGCTGAGATCAGTTGAGGAAGAAGAAGAAGAAGAAGAAGAAATGGAAGAAGATGAAGGAAAAAGGGCAATTCAAGTTGGGGTTTTGTGAGGCTTCTATCTGTCGAACCAGTGGGAGTCAGACCACAAGTAAGATGTCTCTGGAAAGATCTCGTTGCCATGACTCCATAGCAACTGACGGAGTTTGAATCGGAGTTATATTCCTTAGGTATTCACGTTGCTTTCCGGGCAAGAAACCAGTTAATCTGTCAAAATCTGGTAAGGATAGAACCCTAGAAAACAGATCAGACGCAGCATATTCAGGAGAACGTGGGAGATTCATCTGATGTCTGATCGGGATGAAACGTTGTGGAGACGTTCAGGATACTACTGGCTACACATTCAACGGTGGGATTACGTTTCTAACGGTTAAAATTTGACTTATGAATGTTTCTGTGACAGTTTTATATAGAATAAATTGTAACAGATTGTATCGTTGGTTGGGTAAACGAGTTTGGTTTGAACCCAAACTTTGCAGGACATTTTAAGACTCTCATAAGTATGTCTTGGATGATGGAGAGCCAAAGTGGAGTTGAAGACTATGAGGTTGCAACCAAGCTAGTAAATTTGTTTAAAGGAGAATGGAGAAGAGAGATGTTCTTCTTCTTCAACTAGGCTAAGGTGAGGGTGGTATTAGTAACCTCTTTCCTTATATACTCTTTGATAGTTGCTGAGTATAGGCTCGAGAATCGTCTTTGGTGATTTATGTGAATTTGTGTGTATGATAATGTTAGGTTGTTTGTAACATGATATGTGAAATGCATTAGTGACATGACTTGACACCATGTTTAACGTATATTAAACTATAAAAAGGATTAAGTATATATATATATATATATATATATATATATATATATATATATATATGAAAAGAGAAAACTAAAGAGTATGTGAAGGATACTCGAGGAGAATGTTGGACTGTAATGGAGCCGACGGGTTCATTACAGCTCATTAACCGCTGACGAGCAATAAGGGGAAGGATCGAGCTATGGGCCATGGTCTTCCAGAAGTAGGCTTGAGTAGCCATGAGTAAAAAGAGGCTCGAGTATCAATAAGTTAAAAATACTTAAAACTAAAAATGAAAGTAAAATATGTTGTTGTGAACAAGTCGAACGCATGTTTCTTTGATTGATAGACCTTCTGAATATATGCTAAGTAATGGTTGTTGTTTATGTTTGGAACGTGATTACTGTATGTCCAGTGGGCAGAGTCGATCTCCTCACTGAGTAAACTTGTTTTACTCACCCCTTTTTACCCTTTTTCTTCAGGTTAGTAAGTTCAAAAGTTGCGGTTTAAAGTTTGTTCGTTGATGAATTTTGAAGAAAGAAACATTTTTGACAAGACCGGATGAATAACATACAGTCCCATCTTTTGTAGCGGGACGGGTGTTACAATGTATATGACTTTCAAAGTAAAGAAAGTGAAGAAGATTGGACATGAGGTTATAGTGAACAACACTTCTTTATTATCTCATCTCTCTCTTATTCCATCTTGAGTCATGGGTATATATAGGTAAATAACTTGGTGAGCAAGTGACTGTTGACCTTTTTGGAAACAAAAAGATTTCATGAGTTTTGTGACCTTCACGGTGAACATTATTTTTTTATTGATTTCAGTTAAAAGTCAAATTATATCAATTGTGCCCCACATTAAACTCTCTAAGCCATACTCAAAATAAAATTATTTAAGCACCTTTCCTACTCATTATAATGGGCCTCTCAGAGTCTCAATTGCAAATGTTTTAACGTTGATGATTAATAATTGGTCTTAATGGACTTGTAACAACAAAAAATGATGGGTTGAGCCCGATCTAGACAGTCCAACAAGAATACATTTTTAAGTAGAACATGATTACACTGTCGATTCTCTTACGCTCCTCGAGTTAGCCGTTGAGGCTGTCAGAATGGTAACTTATTATGAGTTAGGCTGACCTGACATACTCAGAAACTAGCCGTTAATAATTTTTCCAATGGTCGAGAAATTTGTCTATATATCATACACAATCATCTTGCGTATGACCAGACCTAAGCCTCTCATTCTGGTACAAGCTTTCTCTCTTCTGTTCTTTATTTTCTTTCTGAAAAATCAATTGCTTCTTATTTCTGCTTGTTTCTAATTTGAAGAAACTTCTATTGGATGAATTTTCAGGAAAAACAGCAGAATTGGAAGGTCTTGGGGTTATAAGAATAAATATCTTATTTAAGACGAGACCTAAGCCTCTTATTTCTAGTACAAGTTTTCTATCTCTTCTGTTCTTTTTTTGCTTTCTGAAAACTCGATTGCTTCTTATTTCCGCTTATTTGTTGTCTTAAAAGCTACCGAAAAGCAACAAACTATGTGATATGTTCTTATTTACTAATGAGTTTTAAAGTTAAGAAACTCAAATACATCATTGGGTGTTAATTCATTAAAGACAAATCAAATTAAGTGCTTAGGAAGCTTGTGAATTAGGAGTTCAAGATAACTATTCTTCCTCATATTTATTAAATTTGTTCTTTGTATATCTGATCACTTTTATTTTAGCAAAACTGTTCAAAGGGTTATTTAGCTATTCGTAATCTGTCCTTACACACACACATATATATAAGCACAACTTCATTTATTTACTTGAGTTGATGCAATAGAGGTTTAACATACATATATATAGCTTTTGTCTTATAACCAAATTTCTCAACTATGCTGCTTTTCTTTTATGTGAGATTTGTGTTAATGAGTTTTTTTTTTAATTATGCTTCCATTGGATTTAAAGCTGGTGTAGTGTTTCTTTTAACTTTGAAATATAATACTCACATCATTTTGTTTTGTTTTTATGTCTTTTTTCCGAAGTCGGATATGGACCCCTATGATCCCAACTATGCAAATAAGTACACCAGCGACAAGGACAAGAATTATGGCATAAGAATCTTCTGGAAACTTGATACATCGCCTTTAGCAGATATAACTCAAGCTTCTTCCATATTTGAAAGAATTAGCAGCTTTCTTGGCGTGCAAACCAAGTATTTCAGTGGTAACTGCATAAATGATCTGTATTAGCAGCTTTTTTGGCGTGCAAACCAAGTTTCAAAAAACAATTTGAAAATTGTATAGAAAAACATAAAGTTTATATACAAGTCTCAAGCTTCTACATTTTAAACTTAAGTAACTTTTTCGATTTTATAAACCTCTCTCCCAAAACTTCGCTTCTTCTGGTCTCGTCAATATATGACAAAGGTTTTGGAAGAGAGATAAACCTTCACTTTAATGTCTATATTTTGCGTGTTATTTGCTGCCTTGTTAAAAACTTTGTCATGAAAATATCAAATGGGATAAAAACCATGATAAAGGAAAAAGAGTGCATCCACGCTCATCATTATATATCTCCTTCTGAAAGCATCTTCTTCAAAAGATTCATTTCGATATAATATAAATAAACTCAAAAAAGAGTAACTAAATAACACTAAAAATTTATGTAAAGCAAGAGAAGCTTATTCAAGCGTTGCATGGGTCCGTCCACATTTCAGAGTAAACAATTAGTTTAAGTTAATTTAAATTTATTAAAAAATTTATATTATATATAGAGTTGAAGGTTGTATACCTTCTCTTTAATTCTGTAGTAGGTTATGCATCCAAAATCATATGATTTTTGGCCAAATCACCATTTTCTTCATTAGCTTATTGTATATGATGGTTGCATATTTTTTTAATAATCTCTAAATTAAACCCTGTATGTAACTGATCTAAAAATAAGATTTGGTCCAAAATGAATAAGCTTGAAAGCCATAATCTTTGGAAGGGGTATTACGAGTCCCACATTTTTATAAGGATCTAAGAATAAATACATGATCTATCTCGGATATGTTGTTGATTTTAAAGTGAGATTCATCTCGAGATGACTGAAGTCGAAAAATTATCATCTTGAGGGAGAGAATTAAAGGAATTACACATCGATAATAAGTCGATAACTTTTGGTGAATTTGATACCCCAGAGGGAGATAACTCTAGTGAAGTCATATCCTAAAATTTATCACTTTGTGATATAGTGGAACATCTTAAAATGATGTTCACTTTCAAATGAGTTTTAATGAATCTTTCATATCGCAAATCTAAGAGATTGCAAAACAGTGGTGATTTAATCCCCATATTTTAACTTTGAGCATGCAGTTACATATCATGCAATGATCATATATAAAACCATTGTTTTACAAAAAAAAAATAAAAAAATTCCATGGTATATATACATGATTGGAGATTAATTATTTTTCATTTTGAATTTTATGGGTGTGAAATATATGTTATAAATGCTCCTTTGCACCGCATAAAAATATCATTCAAAGAGGATGAAATATATATAGATGTTGGAGACTCATCTCCACACTATTAATATTGAACCATCTTTTAGATATGTGCCAATTGCAAGATTTGCAAATCATCACATTGGTGATAAAATTCTCCATCATTGTGGGAGAATCGTTAAATAGTTCAAATCTTTGAACAAATGACTATAATGAATACAAACTTAAGAGTTCAAAAGTTCAAATAGATCATTATTCAGAATAAATTGCAAATCAAATGCAAATAGCTGACGGATGAGATTTCATGAAATTATTGATTTTTGTATAAATGCATATGAACTTAAAAATCATAAGAAATCTCTTGTTCCAGCTGAAAATGGTCCAATAATATATGTCTCTAAAATATGACATATTATTGTCTATAAATATGAACATGATTAATAACGAAATCAGGTACCTGAATAAAATCAATCACGATTAGCCATTTCACTAATTAACATTTTTAGCCATCACATTAATTAACAGTTTTGATTTTATATTACGATATCTATGAATTATATATATCTTATTATATAAAGTATGGTTGTCAAAGTTAGTAACTCATAGGATCGTGACACGTGACAAATCTATCAATCTTAGATTTTGACACATGTAAAACAAAAAATTTCTTTTTCAATTTTTTTTAAAAAAGATAATTATTAGTAATTATAAATTTAAATAATTTTAAGAATGTAAAATATAATTATAAGGATAATTGCAAATAATTAATATTTCTATGAACAATTTAAAAATCTCAAAAGATAATAATAAGGAAATTATACGTTTTTTATAATTAAAAATATATATATATCAATTAAACAAAAAAAATCAGGCAAATTTATTAAAAAGGAAACATATGTTATTATATAACTAATATGATATATATATATATATATTTTTTTGATGAAAATATGATATATTTTTTTTCTCAAAGTTAGTAATTAATAGTATCATGAACCGTTATCTGTCAAAAAATTTATCATGTGTCATGATTTAATTTAAAATTTGATATTATTTCTCTCAATTTCTTTTCTAATTAGAAATATATGATGATTTAATTAAACGAATCCTAATATTATTTATTTGAGTTTATTTTTTCAATTAGAAATATGAGAGATCATTTTTTTCTTTTTGTAATATTTTTTTACTTAACTATGTTTTTTGTTTGTCCTCAATTATGATTGTAGTATTGTTAGATTGTTTTTTTTTCAATTTCTCTTTTCATATTTAAATTATCAAAGATTCATATATCATCGTGCTTATAATTTTTTAATTTTAGTTTAAGTGTTGTATCTTTAAATTATTTATTTTGGTTTCTATGTTTAGTTTAAATTATATAAAATTTATAATATATCATAGTTCTAAAGATTTTAGATAGCGACATGTGTCATGATTTAAATTACAAATTTACATTATTTATATCAATTTTATTTTCTAATTAGAAATATGTGATGATTTTAGAGAGACTCACAAAAATGCCCCTTTTTCATTACTCCTTTTCAAAAATACCCCCTTTGGCTGTCTATTTTTAAAAATAATATTTTTATGTACAAAATAACTAAATTACCCTTCTTTTAATAAAAGATATCACAAATATATAAGGAAAACATGAGAATGTGCACACATCAAAATTACAAATTTGATTTTGTAAAAACTTGTAAAACCTTTAAAATACTTTGTAAAATTTTCCCGCCAAAAAAAAGTGATTCCATAATTTTTTTGGCGTTAAATTTTTGGTGGGAAAAATTTACAAGGTATTTTAAAGGTTTATACATGGTATTTATAAGGTTTTACAATGTATTTTAAAAGGTTTTACAACGTATTTATAAGATATTTATAAGATATTATTAGATTTTACAAGCTATTTTATAAAGTTTTACAAGTTATAAGGTTTTACAAGTTTTTTTATAAGGTTTTACAAGTTATTTTTATAACTTGTAAAACCTTATAAGTACCTTGTAAAACCTTTTAAAATACATTGTAAAACCTTACAAAACACTTGTAAAAACTCTGTAAAACCTTTAAAATACCTTGTAAATTTTTCTCGCCAAAACTTTTCCCGCCAAAAAAATTGCGGAATCACTTTTCCCGAAAAAAGAAATTTTAGCGGGAAAATTGCGGGATCTCGTTTCCCGCCAAAAATTTGCGGGATCACTTTTCCCGCCAAAAAATATTTTGTATTTTGTGGACCTAATTTTGTTTCAAATAAGGGTAAAATGGTCATTAAAAATTAAAAGAGGGCAAACTTAAAAATGGACTCTCAAAGGGGATATTTTTGAAAAGGGGTATTGAAAAAGGGGCATTTTTAACAATTTCTCATGATTTTAAGTAAAGTTTTATATTGTTTATTTGAAATTCTTGAATATGTAAGAACCATATATGCTTCTTCTTTGTTTTTGATATATTGAATTTGATTATCCTATTTCAAAATTGTTTATTTAAATTCATATGTTCATATTTGAATTATATAAGATTCATATATCATCGTGCTTATAATTTTTTGAATTTATCAATTTTTATTGATTGATCATAAAGTCATTGCAATCGAATATATAGGAATCAAACCCACAACGTTAGCTTGGAAGGCTAAGGGATTTCGTCGATTTATCATTTTTATATTTTTAACGTGTCTATTTAAAAACCACATTGGTTTCATTCGCCAACTTTATGATGAATATTTTTAATTTTAGTTCTTCATATAAGTATATCATGAGTTATTGCTATGTGATATATCTTTCATACGAAATAATTTTGAATTAATAATTTTAGTGGTTAATGAAACAATGCAACAGTGAAAAAGTACATATTTTTTTTTACTTTTGAAAGAATATTTTTACATACAACGTTGTTAATTAAGTTTTTGTTAAATTTGATTTTAATTTTAAAAAAATTAAACCTATCCATCGAACGGGTCCTAATCTAGTATATATATATATAAAGAATAGAAATGTAAAATTTTGAATACACAATAGTGGAATAAGAAAAATGTAAGACTTAATTATCAAAATATATTAAAACAGAATATCTTTATTAGTTTCACTACGTTAGATTGGAAAATTTTCCAATTCTAAAATAATACTCCCTCTGTTTCAAAATATAAGATATTATAGTTAAAAGCAGTGTTTTCACGCCCGAGCCGAACCGTCCGGTCCGACCGGTTAACCCACGACCCGGACACTTTTCCGGTTTGGGTTTAATGCTAATATCCGGCATTTTAAGAACCGAAAAAACCCACAAAAACCCGCCATCAACCCGCGACCCAGTGAACCGATTGAACCGACTGGGTATGGGTTTTAAAAATATCATTTGATTTTTGAATAAAATATCGAGTTTTAGACTCATTCAGTCATTTTGAGAATTTTTTTTAGATTTTAGACTCACTTGATGAATACCCACGCTACGCGTGGGTTTGTTTTGAAAATTGTTAAGAAAAATGATGTTGATTGTTGCTTATTTATGTTTTTTTTGTTATTTTATAGTTAATGAAATCAGATCCATCTTATGTAGTTACAATTTTTATGTTTAAATTCATTTTTGACTTAAAATATCAATTTATACATTATCATGTATAAATAAGATTATTTATATATCTAAGATCCTAAACTTTTTTTTCACTATTATGAATAAATACAACAACAATATACGATATTTTTATATAATTTTATGTAATTGTGTTACTTGTGTGATTTGAAACTTGCGTGACTTGATCATAATTAAGCAATTCTTTGTTTTATGTACTCTCATGATCTAGTACACCAGCCATATCGTGATAGACTCATAATTAATTACTGGATTGATATAAGTTGAACAAGATCTCAATAATTTTCATATAAAAAGAAGAAAAAAGATAAAAACTAAAGCGTCATTTTAAGTCAACACTTTTACATCTTCTGCCATTGCATATAGCTATATAAGAGAAATGGTCGTGTCTTGAATTTTTTGGTATACCTAACGTCTCAAAGACCCATTACTTGAAAAAATTGCATGTAATTGTAACCAAATTACAATAAGGCACAAAAATGAAAAGAGAAAAAGTCATATGAAAAGTCATATATGAACCACAAAACGTAATAACGAGAACAGACTCAAGGTAAAATTACTAAACTAATAAGAATTTAGGTAGAAAATAACTAAATTACAACACAAATAAATTTTCAGTCATTATCAAATAGTGACTCTTGATAAAAAAAAAATTTGTAAAATAAGATGAGAACAATGAAAGTAGTGCTTGATTTAGTAACATAATTTTCTAATTTTTTTTATTTTAAAGAAATAAGTTAAGAGTAGGATTGATGGATGATTTAATGTGAAGAACTATTAATTTTTTTTCTCATTTAATTTGGCTCATTTTTTATTTAAATAATGTAGAAGGACACATGTCATTTTTTTTTGTGATGATGTGGCACTCATATGGAGAGAGTTGACTAACTTTTATATATATGATTTGTTGTTTTAAATTTTTTAATGAAACTTCCCAGTGCTGTCTAAGGAGAATGAATGGAATGGTGAGAGAAATAACCGAGATTAGCTTTTTTGAATTTGTGATGTTTTATTAGTTTATTTCTGTCATCTCATACTATTTTAATATTTGTTACGGTTTTAGAAATTTAAGTAGGATTTAAAATTTTTATTTGAATCACTTTATTATTATTGTTAGACTTCATATTTTGTAATATATTAAGAATATTTTTATTTTTATATTTATAAAAACTAAATCATCTCTATAAATATTAAATATATTAAATAAAATTTTAATCAATTGACCCGTCGTCGAACCCGGTTAACCCAGTGACCCGATGACCCAGAAAGTAGTCCGGTTCACTATCTGGGTCGGATTTAAAAACACTGGTTAAAAGCATGCAGATTAAAAAAATATACACTTTTGAAACGTTGAACAAATTATGAAAGACATTGCATAATATAAATAATTAATAAATATTAAATCAATATATAATTTGTATAGAAACTTGAAAACATATATATAAAACAAAAAAAGTTTCTCCAAAACATCTTATATTATGAAACGAAAGGAGTATAGTTGATTGAAATTGGAAAAAGTTTAGAAGATAAAAATACTATAACAAAAGGCAAAAAAATCTACTTTGTGACAAAAACATAATAGAAAAGTTTCTAATTTCTAAGTAGTGGTTTTATGTATAAATACTAAAACTAATAATAGAACATAGATACTTGAAAAATCAAAACATTTAGTTCTTGAGAAATCAAACAAAGAGCTCACTAAATTACAAGGGCGCCTGCAACTTCTTCTCCTTACGCTCAGCTACGTCCCTCCTTGGTTTTTGACGAGGTAGAAAAATGTTTTACTAACAAAGAAGTTGTTGTCAGGGTCATCCATTTCTGGAAAGCACGCAACCGCAAAAAAGGTGCATGGCTTACTTATGGGGCTCGAGCTGCTGCTTATTGACCAAAAGGTAATTGAAATTTTATTTATGTTTTACCATCTCATAAGTAAACATTCTCTACCTCGAAATAATTTATTTTTGGAGTCAACCGTGATTCAAACATTCATTGAGGCGAACCGAATAGGCTGGTACGAGTGAAATCTCAAACCTAGTCTTGGTCACTAACAACAAGACAAGTTGCATGGTAAACAAGTAAACTCTTAACTCTAGTACAAGACAAGAGAGATTAAATAGACTTTGAAAATTGGTAAGATCAGCGGATTCGAGTCTGAAATCAGCAGACTCGAGCTGAGTAGCCGACTAAAAATATTTAGGTCTCTTCCTCAAAATTTTATGTCTTTGATTATTTTTACATATCATGATTTATTTTTTGTAGCGACTAAATCAAGGGTTTTTTGGGATGTCGCAGTTTTCCAAACCAAAAAATATTTTGAATTATCACAAAATCAAATCAGCATTTATTCAAAAAAAAATATTACTCTATACAAATTGCTTGATTAATAGCTAAAAAAAAGTTTACTAATACATAAGAGAAACATATGTATGCCCAAACGTGTACATATTTGATAGTTTACTTTCTATATTTTGTCAAAATATTTTTATAATGCTTCACTAATAGCAAAATGTTTTATAATATAAAAAAAAGTAATAAAAATGACATATTATATTTATAATATGTTTTATACTAAATTTTATCTATGCAATCTTTTTCCTATTAAATTTTTTAAGAAAATAATAGATGATAACAAAAATATCACTAAAGAACATTTATGTTAAAAAAGAATCAAAATAAAAAATTACAGAATTTTGCATTACTAGTGTCAATGTTTAGCTACTTAAATGATTACTAAACCCAAAAATGGAAAAAAAACAAGGGTGATTTTGAAAACTACCCTATTTTTTAGTTTTCGTTTGAAAAATACCTTTTTTCTATTTCTAATGAAAATTACAAATTTTTATATGTAAAATGACAATTTTGTCTATATTTAAATTGAAAGCTGTATTTTTAGTAAAATTATAACTAAATTCGAAATTGAGAGAAAAATTCAAAATAATATTAATTATCCTTATAATTCTTTTTTGAGATAAAGATAGTTTATTTATTTTATATATTAAATTTAATAAGATAATATCTAAAAATATTAAAAAGTCTATATAGTCTATCCCTTAATATTGTATATAAAAAAAAATCTCAACGTAACAATCAAATTCTTCAACTCCAAAGTATGCTCCAATTTCAAAGTTAACGTAGATTACGACTTAACATTGGTAGAATGATATAATATACTTGTATCAATGATTAAATCAACGTACGGCTTATAGCTCTAACATAATGTTCTTTGTTTTATTTACATGTGTTATCAATTAGAGATGGAGTACCAAAAACTATTGGAAATCCAATCAAAAGTAATTTTAGTCAAGAGATTTTAAAAGTAATGATGAACTATTAAATTTTAATCAAATGTAGGAACATGATTCACTTGATAGGTGAATTCACAATTATTTTAGATTGTTTAAAGAAATATTGAAGATAAGAATTATTAAAATTGTTAGTTATTTCAAATATTAATTTCAAAACTAAATTAATAGATTTTCTGTTTTACGTATAAATTCTTTTTAATTAATATTAAATTTTACTGAAGCTATTTTAGTAGTTTCATATATTAAAATATAGTTTTTAAAAGAGAAAAAAATAGGGTGTTTTTCAAAAGAAAAGTCAAAAATAGGGCATTTATCCAAATTTACTCTAAAGACAAAATCCCGCGTAGTGAGGGTTTAATAACCTAGTAAAAATAAAAATAAAAGCTTAAGATGGTATTCTAGCTGCAAATGCAATTAACAAAAAAGCTCATATCACATCATAGCTATAATGGGAAGTTTGTGATACAAGACATGCTTAAACTCAATGACTTGCTATGCACGCATTTACATAACTAGAGTATCAGGATTATAAACCAAAGTATTAGAGTTAAGAAAGAAAGGAGCACAAAGTCTTCAGGGCATCACTTTAGTATCTCTCTCCGAACCTGAGAAACAGAGCACCGGTTCCACGATTGTGACGTACAGTATATTCAGCTCGCACCTTACCGAGTTTCACACCCAAACCGTACGATGAACCATGTCCCATTTTCCAGTAAACCGCTGTCGGATTCCCTTTCACATCCTTTGAACTTCCCAAATCGTTTCCATGCTCAGCAAATGTATAAACATGTGTGTTCTTCACAGGGATTCTAATCTCAGCACTAAGCTATATACAATTTTAACAGCTTCAGAATTTTATAAGGGAAAGATATAGAAAATGATTTTGTATGAATTTTGTTATAGTATTTAACCTCGAGAATGTGTTTAGCTGCACCGAGTTCTCCCATGCTGTAGCCTCGAACAGAGTTAGGTCCACCAAGAGCAAAAGCATCATAGTTTGGAAGATCGCCTATGCAGCCACCGTAATGACCGTGAAGGACTAGAACTGGTGGTCGTGGATTACCGGATCCTTCTTCTACTTGCTTCAGCTGAATGAATCGTGTAAGTGTTAGTTGGTGGCGGTTGAAGAGCGGGAAATTGCTTCCTATACCCAAGCCTTGATCCACCTGCGATTTATGTTACTACATTATTGCAGTGTGTCAAAAAAAGCTCTAATTTAGAAACACAAACATGGATCGAGGGATTTATACAAAACCTGAAAGACATTCCTCTCTCCAACAATAGCCCCATTCACAAGCTTGGTGTTGTCTCGGGTTATGTTGGCTTGTAGAGAGGCTATGCGGTCAATACCAGTACCACTTAGAGTTGTTGGAGGTCCATTAACACTGATTCCACCGCTAGGCGAAAACGACAGCCCATTTACAGAGACTTTCCTGTTTTCATCTTGGGCTATTATCTCTTCCAACATAACTCCATATGTGAATTCTCTCTGACGGGTTATATATTAGAGTGGTTGTTGGGAGATGATTACAAGTTGACTATATATAGGAGACTTGCTTACCTCAGTTATAGTAGCTTTAAGACAATCTCGAGCCACAAACATTGGAGGCACTACTTCCTCAAAGCCTGGTCCCCCAGTGAACACAGGGCTAAGTTTTCTGCTGTTGAAGAAGCTCGTTTTGAAGGTACGGTTTCTAGGATTTTTATCACCGTCTAGACACCGTACATACTCAAGCTTAGACAAAAGATCATCCTAAGAGAAAACCAAGCGTATGAAAAGGATCACAATATCAAACTACAAAATAAACCAGATAGGTATCATATCATAAGCGTATGAAAAACAAGTGTACCAGCTTAGGATCGAAGATGTTGCTAGTGGTCACAGCACTCATGAGAGAGCAATTAAGGCCCTCGAAGTTTTGGCGTCCCAAGGTACAAGACCCAGTTACCTCAAACAAGGCCTAATAATGCAAGATAAAACAATTGAGGACATACTAAATTCAGAGGAAAAACTCTAAAACTTAAAGCATTCCCAAGTTTAGTACATACCAAAGAAGGATCAAGACTCCATTTTGCTGATCTCTGATCTGTCTCATCAAGCTTGATCTCAAGAACAATACCATTAGTTTTCTCATCTGGATGTGGGATGACTAAGGACTTAATCTTCCTAACAGCTTCGTTCACAGCTTCCATCACAATAACCTGAACAACGGAACCACTAAATCCATTAATTCTTTATCAAGAAACAAAGCTTAATTAATACACACAAGATTTAAGATTCACTCTCAGAGGAATTTCATCAAATACTTACCAGACACAAATTCTATTTTACAGTTCAACTCAAATTAAAAGCTAAACTCAATGCAACGAAAGCAAAATTCTGAAATCCACTACAACGATCGTGAACGAATCAACAAGGAAAACCAAAAAATCCGCTGAATCAAATACAAATTTCAGTCTAAAATCGTAATCACTAGTTCTCCTTGTAGCTCTCTAATCGTAATCACGCATCTAAAATTGTAAAAACCAAAATCCAAAGCAAAAACTAGCTCTCTGTAGTGATTTTGAGACTGATTTTGGTTGTTGATCTTCATCTTCTCACTTGTTCTTTGCGTTTCAAGTTTTGAAATCAGTACAAAAGAAAGAAAACGAGAGAAACAAGCGATTTATGTACAATTTCTCGGAGATCAAACTCGAGAATGCTTCACTCTCAAGAGGAATCTACAAGATTTCAGGTTAAGCAAGAGAGATTCAAAGCTACGTACCTACACGAGTATCCTAGAGGTTGACGAAGAAGAAGAAGGATCTAGATCTCTCTCTCTCTACTCGATTTCTTCAAACTTGTAGCTCTTAAACTTCTTTCTCTCTCTATATTGTTTGTTACTACTGACTGTTATAGCACTCTGGAAGAAAACATGCAACCGCAACCGCCAAAACTCCTTTGCGTTTTGATTCTGCATTTGGGAACGTCTTCATTTATGGGCCTTAAGCCCAATTCTCTAACTGACCCAAATAACTAACCCTAAGCCCAAATAAAACTCTTCCAATCTCAAATTTTCTGGACTTTTACAAATTGATCTTCTAACTTTTTAAAATTACCATTTTTTCTTAATCCTTATTGGCTTCTAAAATCATTGATACTTAAAAACTCTAAGTTTCTGTTTTTTTAGCCTCTCCCAGCTTGAATTGTTGCCATCAAATGAGCCATGAAGAAAGCATATCGAGCACCGGTGTGCTGTGGAGTGTAGTTGTCTCCAAGTCCAAACTTTTCAAAGTTGAGTTCTATGTTCACAAATCACAAACTAACCCGGCAACAACCTTTTCGACATAGCTTCTTGCCATATCTCCAAGAACTCCTCCATCACTTTTCTTCAGTGCCGGCTCTCCCCATGTGCGGGGAGTACTCATGCACAGTGTCCAAAATTTTTTTGTCTTTTTTTCAACTAAATTTATTAAAATTAGGGTTTATATATATATATATATATATATATATAAGAAATTAGGGCTAATTGTTTTTTTCAGCTCAGGGTTCTTAATTTTTTTGAGCCGGCCCTGCTTTTCTTGCCATTTCTATTGATGATATAGGAAGATACTCCACCTGAATATAATACACACACATAACTATAACCTTTTGTTACATTCCACGAACTCCAAATTATGAATTACAAGAAACTACTATTAATTCATCATCAATATTGTTTGTTAAAATATCTCAACTTACTCAAAAGCTATAACACTAGTTACCTCCATGACTATGCCTCTGACGGTCTTGGCATGAGCAGGAACAACTTTTTTTTTTTTTTGCTAAAGTGCAAATATCATATAGATAAAAAGTTGGTTTTACAACCTATACATTGGTTTCTCGGCAAAAAATAAACAAGAAATCAATACATTTGGGATTCAAAGCAGTCTCACTGCAGCCAGCGAGTCATTAGGTTCTTGAACCTTTGCTTTGTCTTCTAGCAGTGATTGTATTCTTTATCTCCCTATCAATGTCCAAGAAGATCAAAGAAGGCAGGATGTAGATTTGATTATGAAGGAAGTTGTTCCTCTGTTTCCATATGTTGTAGATTACACATTGCACCACAAGCTTACGGAGAGTTGGCGGAGACCTGTGATGCTTGATCCTAGTCCAAATCAATAGCTCCGACCACGTGGTAAATTCAACCCGAGGCAAGTGAAGTCTGGTGATAACAGCATTCCATAAGAAAAGCGCAAAATCACAAGTAATTAACAAGTGGTCTCTGTCCTCATGATGGGAAGAGCAAAGGCTACAGATAGTGTCAATGTTCATTCCCCAACGAGCCAATCTTGATTTAGTTGGTAGACGATCGAGATTAGCGACCCACATATTGAATGCATGTCTTGGTGTGGCTCCCTTGAACCAAACAGAGTTAAACCAGCTAACCGGATCTGCTCTAGGTCTCAGCACAGACCAAGTTTTAGAAGAGGAAAAGCCAACGCAGTTCTTATCCTCTACCACCCAGTCAAAAGAGTCCAACTCCAGAGAATGAGAAGGAAGACTGATGGTCGTAAGATAAACATGGAGGGACAGAGCAGATTCAGATCTCGGAGCAGCCAAGATCCATCTTTCATGGTCGCATGCTTCAGCGACAGTAGCATTAAGAGCAACCCTTAAGCTCCTAGGTCCATCTGGTCCAATAAACTTAATAAGTGGCCCGAGACTAGTCCAATTATCGAACCAGAAACTTGCCTTTCTTCCATTACCAACCCTGCACCTGATGAAATTTTCTGCCAACCTTCTCAGTTTTAGAATACATTTCCAATTCCAAGAGTCATTTGCCTTCTCAGTCTGATTCCAGAAACTTGTAATGCAAATATCATATAGACTGAAACTTCTCAGTCTGATTCCAGAAACTCTACAAGGCTCGAAACTCCGACAAAGGAAATAATCGAACAATCATTTCGATTAATGTTCCCGGATTCGAACAATGAAGCGGAATACGAAGCTTTCTTAGCAGGACTTCGACTTGCTCTTGCAATTAGAGTAGAAAAAATAATAGCTTATTGTGATTCTCAGCTAGTTGTAAACCAATTCGCTGGAGATTACGAAGCTAAGGCTCCTGGAATGGAAGCCTATCTTTCGGCTGTAAAAAAATTAGCCGGAAAATTCAAAGAATTCGAATTAGTTTGAATACATAGAGGAGAAAACACTTCGGCAGACGCTTTAGCTGCCCTAGCTTCTACCTCTGATCCCGAGCTCAAACGAGTTATCCCAGTTGAATGTATTTCTTCACGAAGTATTTTAGTTGAAGAAACAGACAACGATAACATTTTGGAAGCCGAACACATCGAAACTCCAAAATTAAGTTCGGGAAATGAAAATACTTCACTTGTCGTCACCAGATCACGAGTAAAATCTCAAGATGACAAACTTATTCCACCACTGGAACTTCCCAAAAGAAAGCCAAGAAGAAAATTAAAGGATCAAGAGGTTCCCATTAAAGAACCGTCCGAACCGAACAGTCACTTCCAGGTGATGTAGAAGTTCAGGAGACAATCGAAGATCCTGATATTCCTTCCGAACCCTAACCAAGGAAGTTTATACTCAAGGATAATACTTCCGCTAATGATTTGGGGGCTGACTGGAGGGTACCCATCAAAAATTTCATTCTTAATGGAGAACTACCATCGAACAAGTGGCAAGCTCGCAAATTAAGAATCATCAGCACTAAGTATTGCATAATTAAAGATTCGTTATACAAACGAGGTATCACTGACCCTTATCTTTTATGTATTTTCGGACCTATAGTTGAAATAGTGACAAGGGAGGTCCACGAAGGGCTTTGTGGTAGTCATTCTTCGGGGCGATCAATGGCCTTCAAAATCAAACGGTTAGGATATTTCTGGCCAACTATGATTTCTGACTACATCGATTACGCCAAACGGTGTAAAAAGTGCCAGATGCACGCTCTTCTTATTCACCAGCCGTCTGAATTTTTGTCATCTATATCCGCTCCATACCCTTTCATGAAATGGTCAATGGATATAGTTGGTCCGATGCATCGTTCAACACGAGGCGTCCAATACTTATTAGTTCTAACGGACTATTTTTCCAAATGGATTGAAGCTGAAGCTTATATAAGCATACATGATTCTGTAGTAAAGACATTCTTGTGTAAACACATTATTTGTCGCTATGGAGTTCCCTACGAAATAGTAACGGACAATGGTCCTCAATTCATTTCAAATGATTTTGAAGATTTTTGTTCCGCTTGGGGAATAAAACTTAGCTACTCAACACCGAGGTATCCTCAAGGAAATGGACAAGCGGAAGCTTCCAATAAAACAATTCTCAGCAATCTTAAAAAATGCTTGAGTGCTCGAAAAGGTGGATGGTATGACGAGCTGCAACCTGTGTTGTGGGCTTATCGAACATCCCCGAGGCGAGCAACGGGAGAGAATCCATTCTCATTAGTTTATGGGATGGAAGCTGTAGTCCCAGCCGAGCTGAATGTTCCTGGTTAGACCGGAGCGAAGCTCCACTTAACGAGGAATCAAATTCTAAATTATTAGAAGATGTTCTCGATACAATCGATGAAAGGCGAGACCAATCCCTTATTCGACTTCAGAACTATCAGCAGTTGACCGCTCGATACTATAATTCAAAGTTGAAGAACAGACCTTTGAATGTAGGAGACTTTGTATTAAGGCGAGTGTTTGATAATACAAAAGAAGATGGAGCTGGAAAACTCGGTATTAACTGGGAAGGCCCTTATCAAATCACAGAAAAAATCCGAAATGGTGTATACCGTTTACAAGACCTCGACGGTAATCCCGTTCAAAGATCTTGGAATATCAGCAACTTGAAAAAGTTTTATTGCTAAATCAAAATATTTCGAACTACGATTTGGCTTGATCCTATTTTGGGTACGTAGGCAGCTCGCTAAACACGAGTCCGGCTATAAAAATAAAAATATTATTTCAATCATGGAATCTTATTTTTATCCTCGGGCATGAATATAAAATTATGTTGCGAGCAATGTATAAATAAATATTTCTTGCTAAACAAAAACCAGATCTAGAAGGGTCTTGAATTACGGAATAGTTCTGCTCCTTGGCCTGCGAGGTCAACGATGCTCATAATGCAACCTGGCATGTTTCCGTACTCCTGAAGTCCTAGTTCGATCCAATCGGAAGGATGGGCTTCGAGGCGATGAAGCTCGCGAGCAATATCAAGGCGACGCTTCTCTAGTTCCCTTCTCCTCTTCCTAATCTCTTTTTCTCATCTTCGAGCTCGTCGTGCCGAATGATGAGCTAAAGAAAATAAAACGCTTTGTTTAGTATTGACAAAAGTAGTCAAAATTACTAGGTTGAACAATACCTTGTTAATAAATTCCTCGGCCTTGACACGATCTTGAGCTGACAATCTCTAGATTAATACGATCGGAACCTGAATGCTGGTTCCCTTCCTAAATATTCGTGACTTTTCCAGTTCGCCAGTTCCTCCCGCTTTAATGAGCTCGATGTCTGGCGCTCCCAGAAGATCATCACTTGTCGTTCTGAATGAGTCAGAAGGATTCTCTGAAGAATTACCTTCCTCGAACATTTTTGTAGAATTGTTGTTGATAAAACTCAATGATAAACTACACTCACTTTATACTCGAAAAATACTCGACCACAGTTAAGAGGGTTAATTGACGATTTCCCAAATCTGAAATTACTACTTTTATGGAAAATGTACTCGAGTTAATTGCTAATTATATTCCCTAGATTAATCGCATTAAATAAGATTTAAGTAAATCGGCAAATTTAAAGCAAAAAGGGAAATATAATTAATGTTGCTAGGCCTCAAGCCCAGTGGCATTTTACAAACATAAATAAGAGAGTGTTCGATCAAAAGTCTTCG